AAGCTCCAGTTTATTCACAGCTGTGATCATTTCCCAATACACCAAACCTAACCCAAGGCTGTGGAATTGATTCTAACTTATGGTGACCCTCTGTGCCCCAGAATAGACCAGGTCCATAGGATCCTCCCTCCCTCCATTCTTCCTTTCCTTCCTTTGAAAGGTAATTTGGCAATGAATCTGCAGATGGAATAAACCCTCCTAACTAAGAAATGCTTGAGTAGAATCTGTGCCAACCACTGATGAAATCCATATGCAAAAATCCATGACTGATAATGAGCCAGTTTCTTTCTCATTTTCCTTTTTAAACTTTGAGGGGGGAAAATATTGTGATTTGAGTGACTGTGCACACCGTAAGTAGAGTTTCCATTCAGCAATCCACACACATTTTGTCTTGTCGTCTATTGCAATGTAATAGCCCTCTTCCCACTCCCTCCCTGTGTTTACTGTTCCTATTTGCCCTTCTTGGTTGCCTGATCCTTCTTGTCTTCCAAGCTTTATCCTGGGGAAATCCCATGTGGGATCTTCTTGACTGTCATCTTTCTTCCCTGGGCCTTTCTTCGGCCGATGGTGGGGCCAAGCCACCAAGCTTTAGATTAGCAGCTAATTGCATGCAAACTGCTTGCAACGCGTGTTGTTGGATACTGTGTGTGAAGTCAGTTACAACTCAGCAGTCCTATGTGCCAAAGATTGAAACACTGCCCAGTTCTATACCATCCTTAAAGTTGTTCCTCTGCTTAAGCCCATTGTGGTAGGCACTGTGTCAACTCATCTTGTCAAGGGCCTGCTTCTGTGCTACCTACATTAAAGCCAGGCCACCTTTCCCCATAATCAACAATATCTTGTGTGTTTGTAAGGTTCCCATCTAAACCCTCTAAAGTCATAACAATTACCCAAAAAACCCCAAACTCACTGCCGTTGAATTGATTCCGACTCACAGTGACAGGGTGGAACTGCTGCTGTGCGTTTCTGAGATTGTAATTCTTTACGGGTTACATAGAGAAAAGCCCTGCCTTTCTCCCTAGAAGCAACTGGTGGTCTTAAACTGCCAATCTAGCCATTTGAAGCTCAATGCATAAACACTATGCCACCATGGCTCCTATTTAACCCTTACGGTAATTAAATATGATGGTCATATTTGGAGTCCAACTGTCCAGGGAGATATCCCAATTCCAGGTAAAAGATCAGAAACATACAGATGTTCTCCACTTACTCTACCTTCACCCCAGTTTCAGCCACTCTAAACTGACGTAGTCAATGTCAGGGAGTTCGCTCTCGCTCCAACTCTGCTTGTACTGCACTCAGTCTGAAATGGTCCCCACACCCCCTGCCTTAAAGTGACCCTTCTCCGTAACCCCCAGGCATCCACTTCCTCTTACTTACAAAGTACCTGCCCCTCCATAAGGCAATTCCTGCTTAATAACCCACACTAGATTTGAACCTCTTCCTCTGTAACCTTCATACTCTCTGCCTTAGTTTAGCACAGGTGCCCTAGTGGCATAGTGGTTATGTGTTGGGCTGCTAACCAAAAGATCAGCAGTTTGAAACCCCCAACCACTCTGTGGAATAAAGAAGAGGCTTTCTACTCTAGTAAAGAATTGCTGTCTTAGAAATCCATGAGGCATGTCTACCCTGTCCTATAGTCTCTATGAGACAGAATTGGCCTGCTGGGCAGTGAGTTTGTTCTTTTGACTTGGTGCCTGGCACACACTGCCCAATCATTAAGCATTTGTTAGCATGAATGACTGAATGAATAGATGAGCCTTTTCAGACAAGTCTAGCAACAAGAAAAGGGTGTCCACTTGCTCACCATCTCCTCAAACAGATGCCCACTGGTTTCAGCACTAAGAATTTAGGTTGAGTCAAGGATAGAAGGAGAGCAGCCAGAAAAGAGGAGATGCTGGGGTTAGCGGCTTATGCATGTGGTTGTGGGGGGCACTCAGCAGCTGGCATGAGAAGAGAGGGCTCATTCCATAGCACATCAGACACTTCTGCCCCTCTGAGGGGTCCTGGTGGCACAGCTTGCCAGGTGTTGGATGACAACCTCTAAGTCAGCCTTTCACACCCATCAGCAGCTCCACGAGAGAAAGAGGGGGCCACCTGCTCTTGAAAAGATGTATGATTTCAGAAAGCTGGCACAGAGGCTTTGTGTTAAGCTGGGTTGACTAGAGATAAAAATCCAGGGACACTCATATATGTATAAGGAAGAGCTTTATAGGAAAGAGCAATTGTATATTGAGAAAACATTCCAGATCAAGTCCATAAATCCAATATTAGCCCATATGTCCAATACTAGTCCATAAATTCCTCTTCAGACTCACACAGCACATGCAATGATGCAGAATGCAGGAAGATTGCAGGCCCGTGGGTGAAAAGTATTATGGATCCAATGGTGGTGGAAGCATCTCAGTGCTGGTGTGGGCCGCCACTATATGGCTCAGTCAGGTCTCCGCATGGCTCCACATGGCTTGTCAACAGGAAGGTGAAGCAGCAGAGAGAGAATCAGAGGAAGCTCCCAGAATCCTCATGAGAAGGTCACGCCCACCAGGAGACATCATCAGGCTGTGACCTGATTGGCAGGCTAGACTCCACCCCTAGACCTATTTATCAAGCTGACTTGACATTATGTAACGACCACAGGCTAAGTCACAATGGGCTCGATGGCAGTGGGTCGGCTTGCCTCGTGTAAGGAAGAGGACATGGTAAAACTGAGCCGGAGTAGCTGCAGCATCGGACCTAATTAAATTGTAAACTTCTAAAGGAAAGCTGAGGAGCCCCGTGGGCCCAACAGGTGCATGTTGGGTTACTAACAGAGAAGTGGGCAGTTTGAACCCACCGACGACGGCTCCCTGGGAGGACAGACCTGGTCCTCTGCTCCGGTAAAGAGTTGTTGATGTTGTCAGTTCTGACCCAGATCAACCCAAATGCACAACAGAACAAAACACTGCCTGGTCCTGCGCCATCCTCCCAACTGTCCTACTATATAAATTGTACAGCCCCGAAAGCCGCAGGGGCAGTTCTACTCTGTCCTAGAGGGTCGCCATGAGAGTCAAAATCATAACAACTACGCAGAGTTAGCCTGGGTTTTCCAGAGCGGACACCACCTGAAACAGCCCAAACTTGTGTGCCTGGGCATTTTTCAGGGAGTCCCTGGGTTGGAGGTATAAGAACGCCCAGAATGCCTCGGAAGAAAGGGCTGGCAATGTGCTTCAGCAAAATCAGCCACTGAGAACCTTGTGGTATACAGTTCTCCTCTGGCACACACCGGATGGCTGTGAATCGAGATCGATGCAATTGGTGCATTTTCCTGGAGTCTGTTGATTTTACCAATTCCTCTATGAACAACACCCTCTGCCCATTTACAACCCCTCCCCACCAAGAAAAAGTACTCACTGCTCTGCAGAGCTGAATGCCCCCTCACAGGACTCCACACTGTGACTGACTGCATGCAGAAATGTAATAAACATGGAGGCAATCAAGCGTGCAGGTGCACAGTCTCACTATTTATTTATTTATTTTGTTTGAAACATAGAAAAACTTCGATTGAAAAGAAAGCAAAAAATGTTAACAACTGAAACAACTTTTAGATGATTAAAAAGGGAGATCAAATGATAAGGTATTACATTTTAATTTAACTACATCTGCCATAATCCACTTTATAACGCTCTCTGTCTGATAGCAAGGCTGTTCCTATCCATCAACTATGGTCGGAGGGAATTGAGGCTTAATCCATATGGAGACCCTGCAAATGGAGTTTGGGCTTCTACTGGCATCTATAATTTTCTACAAACTGGATGTTCACAATTCAAAATCTGATACCATTCCCTCCTTGAGATTTGGATTTTATTATGTGCAATCCTTGTCTCACACAGGCTGGTATGCTTCTTCCATCTGGACTTTTGCCTCATTTAGATGGCTGCTTCTTTTTTTAAAAATCAATTTACAGTCTCACTATTTAAATAAAGTTGACAAGTGTACACTCAAACTGGTAACTAGCCAAGCGCTAGAGGGCTGTCCCTCCCTGCCCCCCCTTGCTGTTTCTAAATGAATGTTTGTGAGTTCTGATAAGTAAAAAAAACAAACCCTAGCATTATTTGTCATGTGAAGATCTGATCATTCTTAGATGGCTACTTGATGTTTTTCACACTTGCTGATCTTATTAATAATACCTTTGTTACTACAGTTTGATGATTTGA